GGAAACGTCCCAGATGTCCAAATGTCATCGAATATAGTCAACAAAGTTTCAAGGCATGATTCAGGCAAGTGTTTCAGTAGCTGATAATGAATATTATCAGCGCCTGCTGCTGTATCATGAGCTTGCCCAAAGGCAGTATATAGCTCATGTAGTGAAGATACCTCATTGTAATCTTCACCATTATCAGATGTAAAATTTACTTTTTTCTTTTCCTGTTGGAGCTGATATTTTTGAAATTCGGGAACGTAATTAGATGAAGACGAATGTTGAGATAATGTTTTCCCAAGTCTATTGGCAATAGCAGTTTTATCAGTTAGTAAAGTATCGCCATCCTTCAGATGGTTAACTGTAGAATTTGATCCCTTGCCTTTGATCTTTTTAATCATGTTCCATGCCTTGGACATAGGGGTACGAGTGTTTATTTTGGAGACATAGTTTCTCCATGATAGACGTTTATTTTGCTTAAATAGACGTCTTGCCTTAGCATTTAAAATTTTGACAGTGTTTAAATTATGGACAGTGGGATGTTTACGGAAGTATTTCTCCGCCTTCTTACGACATTTCCTAGCTTGTTTGCAAGTGTCATCAAACCATGGTTTACGAACACGTGGGTTGACGGAGGACTTAGGAATTGATTCATCAGCAATTGTATTCAGTTGATCTGAGAACAACTGAATCGGGTCAGTAACATTCTGAAAAGACGTAAGTTGCAATTTATCTTTGCATAAAGATTGAAATAAAGTCCAATCAGCCTTCAAAAAATTCCATCGAGGTGAAGGTGGATCATCAGCGGGATTAATGGGTTTAAGTACAGTGGGGAAATGGTCACTTCCACACAGGTCATCGTGGACTGACCAGGAAAATTCGTGTAACAAAACTGAATCTGTCAGAGACAGATCGAGAGATGAATACGTGCCAGTAGCAGGGTGTAAATACGTATCGGAGTCATCATTAAAGATGCAGAGATCATTATCGGAAACAAAATCCTTGATCACTTTTCCCTTTTGATTAATGATTGCACTTCCCCATAAAGGATTATGCCCATTTAGATCACCCATGATAACACAGGGCTTTGGGAGCTGATCGTATAGTTTTTGTAGATCATTACGCTGAAGATTTGAAGAAGGTGGAATGTATAAGGAGCAAAGTGTCAAGGCAATATGCAGTGTAAGTCTAACTGCAACTGCTTGCAGATTTGTGTCAAGCGGAACAGGACTGTGAACAACGCCCCGCCGCACCAAAATAGTAGCTCCTCCAGTAGCTTTATCACCCGGAGGAGAAAAAGAATGATAGGAACTATACTGCCTTAATTCAAATTTATCTGTATGTTTTAGGTACGTCTCTTGTAAACAAATTGCTGATGGACTTAAATCTGTTGTTAATAATTGCAATTCGTGAAAATTATGCCTAAGTCCTCTGCAATTCCATTGAAATATATTTGAATGGTTCATGGCGGTTCTATAGGAGATCGCTTACGTGAACGTGAAAAAGAGTCACCACTCATGGAAGATGGAGTAACATCCATCTCGAGAGGATCAAAGTAATTGTGAACATCTACAGATGTTTCAGTGAGAGTAGGGATCTTAGTAGAAATTTTCTTGTTTTGTTTCTTCTTTTGTTTTTTGGGCATTTCAGGCGATGGTTTGTTAGGTGCTGGTAATTCAGGAGTTGGTTTAGGTGGGGCCATAGTCTGAGTCACAACCTGAGATGCTGAAGAGATGCCACATGATTGACTATCGGAATCATTGGTCTGACTCTCTGATGTTGTAACCATAGGCACAGGGTGTTCAGAGTGTGTCCATGTCAAGTCAGTTTGACATTCTATAGATCTTGTGGTAGAAGGTCGAGAGACAGCAGCAGCATAGGTGTGCGCTGATGGAGGTGACCGGCTGGCAACGACTTTTTTAGCCTCCTGAAAAGAAATGTTGTTTTTACATTTGACAGTTAAGATTTCCTTTTCATGATTCCAAAGAGGACAGGATTTCGAAGACGCAACATGTTTACCCATACAATTAGCACATTTGGGGTCAGCTGTACAATCTGAGGCGTCATGATTTGCACCACAACGGTGACAAACAATCGGCCGATCGCATGATTTGGAGCCATGCCCAAACTTCTGACACTGGTAACATCGGAGTGGATTGGGGACATACACCTCCACTCCGATGTTGAAATAGCCTGCCTTAATTGATTGTGGTATAGTCGACAGTGCAAATGTGAACAAATAAGTATTTGTTTTGATAATGTTTTCTCCGTCCTTTCGAGTAAACCGTTTCACTGAAGTGACATGTTGATCTTTGAGTTCGTCAAGAATATCATCTGCATTCATTTCCGCCAGACAACGGCCTCTGTCGCGGATGATCCCCCGACTCGAGTTCAACGTTCTGTGCGCAGAGACAGCAACTTCAGTGTTTGCAAATGTAGTACATTTCAAAAGATTGACAGCTTGCTGTCTCCGTGCACACTCTACCAAAAGAGAACCGCCCCGGAGCCGTGAAACATTCTTAACTTCACCACAAATACCTGCAATGGCTTTAGATATGGCAAAAGGATTTATTTTTAGTGGTAATTCATTTCTGGATTCAACTACCAAAAAACGTGCCCAAGAATTATTATTTGGTATGAGAGAAGCATCATCATCAGATGATAAAATCTCAGTTTCCAAACGTCTCTTCTTTTCATTGCGGATCGAACCAGAGTGATTGTGAGCCATGGTGAAAGTAATTGATTCAGCACCCCTGCTCCCCACCCACCATGGAGTGCTACAAAGAGCGATGTTTTATTGCACCGGATCTCCAACATGCAAACATCAGGGATACAGAGGTGTTATACTCCAGTAAGAACAACATGAATAGCTGTATTTGTCTATCAAATAAAATGTCAGGCTGGTTCGGCCCATGGCAAGAAATTGAAGACATACAGAACTCAGAGGTCGAAAGTACCAGATTGGCCCATGAGCCACCGCCTTCTGGCGTAAGACTCTAGGCAATGTATACAATCCAAAATTGAGAACATACACAAGGTATGCATGGCCAAGACCAAAATATACAGTGAAATACAACACAGGTGTGCATATACAATATTACGCACAGGGCCTGGCATGACCAGCCGATTGATAAGACCGGGCCCATCTTACCACCCGTCTAGGCGAAGTAAGGGTCGAAGTAGTGTGTTGGGCAAAGGAACACAGTTCCAGGAACCAGTGCCCTCAACTACCAGACTCCCGTCCTCCGCCGACACAGGGACGCAACCCACGGCAAACAGGTTGCCCATTTTAGTCGCCTCATACGACCAGCAATGGGAGGCTGTGGAAATATTCTGCCCCGGTTCCACACGGGGGAAGAGCTATTAGCGTAACCCAGCACTCACCACGAGGAGGTTGCTCTTCACGAGTGCCTTATGTGAAATAACTGAAATACTATTCAAAATAGGGGTAAACCGAAGTAACTCGTTCTGTCCCTCACAGCCTTATGTTATAACAGTGTGAGGTTCCCATTATCATATTGACGAAAAGGTTCTGCACAGGTGGCCTGACATATGTGTGAGCTTGTGTGTTAGCTATTGACCAGAAGCTGAGCACCATTCATATATATTTTGTTTTCTCAAACTAAACTTATGTGTCAGTGTGACATCTATAATCTGTTGCTTCTAAATATCTGAAGTGCTATGCACTAACATTGAGCCATATTTGTCCCGAAGGTAGCATTCACAACTAAATCATTGCATTTCAGTAAACGAAACTGTAATTTAACTTTGCATATATGTACGCATTCACAGCCGTAATGATCAAAAGGTGCTCCCCATGGTATATATATCAACGTGAAATTGGGAATTCTATCGTGCAAAACCTTGCTCCCATGATTGCTGCCCCTTCTGCCATGAAACAAGGAAACACGGAGTCATTAACTATTTCTCTCAAACTTGCATATGTACATTGCATATGATCATTGGCTGCAATCCCAGCTTCGCACCGATTATGATTCTTGGTTTTGTAAACAACATACCTGTGCTCGTGGGTTTCACCAAAACTGTAAACATGTAACACCTGAACTACTTCGGCCTTTTTTAAAACACTGAGCCTGGAATAATGGGGACACGGGTAGCCAGGTCGTCTAAGGCGCCCCGATTCGCGGTGCAGAGTTGCCTCCCTTGGGCCAGAAACCTATGATTGTGGGTTCGAATCCCGGTTCGCCCCGATCAGTTTCTAGGTTTGTCAGCACCATACCAGGGCTCGTGGGTTTCACCGAAGTGGTAAACGTCCGAGACCTGCATCACTTCGGGCTTTCCTCTCACATTAAGGTGACACGCCGTGATATAATTGGAATAATGTTAAAAGCGGCGTTTAACCCAACTCACGCACTCATTCACTCACTCACTCACTCACTCACTCACTCACTTGAAAAATGCTTGTTGCGGCGGTTAACAGCTAACACACCACATTGAGCTCACACACCGTGATATAAATGAAAAACTGTTAAAAACAGTATAAAGCCAATCCCCTCAATCCGGTTCAGTCATTGGGACAGAAACCTATGATTGTGGGTTCGAATCCCGGTTCGCCCCTATCAGTTTCTAAGTTTGTCAGCACCATACTCGTGCTCGTGGGTTTCACCGAAGTGGTAAAAGCGGCGTTAAACCCAACTCACGCATTCATTCACTCACTCTCTCACTGGAATAATGCTGACTGCGGCGGTTAATAGTTAAGAAACCACATTGAGCTCACACACCGTGGTATAAATGAAAAACTGTTAAAAACAGTATTAAGCCAATCATCTCACTCTTTTACTTGAAAACTATAGTTCAGACATTGATATTAGTACGTGTACCTTTCTAGCTAGAGAATACATGTTAATCATTTTCCTTCCTGGCAGACAATGCAGAAAAACATATGCGCATTAAACAATTGATCGCAATCGCACAGAATGTCTAGCAACCTGTCGGCAACAACAACAAACAAAAGGCTGGCATTGTCTGTCATATCACGTGACATTCACCTGAACACTAAGCAGGAATTTTATTCTGGTTCCATAGACAGGTGTAGACGGTCTGACTGACGAGGACTTCTGACTGAATTAAGTGGAACTATAGCAAAGGGCAATCTTATACCAGGTAGGACTCACTTGATTAAATTTATTTGATGTGTTTCTTTAGCTGGCCATGCTGTAGCCAGTTGTAACGATGAGGACAGGTCGTCATATGGCTTGGAGAGTCGATTGTGGGTTATTGTTTAATCATTCGCGGGCTTCACATGAACACTTACTCAAAGATCCAAACCTTGAAAACATATAACATGTAAAAACAAGCGACAAACCCATTTCCATAATCAAAGAAACATCTGATAAAAGTAGAGTCCACTGTACGATTGCGACTATATCATAAGCATGTGGTCTAGTGAAAGCGTCCGACTTGAGATCGGAAGGTCCTGGTTTCGTTCCCGGCCGCGTCATGCCAAAAGACGTTAAAAGATGGTATTTGTTGTTCCTCTGTCTGGCGCTCGCCATTAAGGGGCTAAAACTAGTCGGCTCGGAGTCAGTGTACTGTGTCTCAGTGGGGTATTTATGCGGCATGGTATCCCAGTGGGCTAGCACTATAAATCGGCATCAGTCCGGACTAGTACAAGCAGCTAGATACACGTGCATGCACGCCGCTATATAAGTGCAATAATATTGTACGCGACTTTAAGCCCCATTTCCCCTCACCATAAAATAGTGATGACACCAGGTTTTCGCGTACAGGTGAGCATAAGCTTCCCCACCGGTGCCACCCGCCACAAACACATGCAAAAGCAAGCTCCTTTGTCAATGCAAAGCTGATATCGGTTATCATGTTGGGAGGCGCCACAGCTAACGTGTTCCGTTCACTGCAAATCGATATTAAGGTCGATTCATTGTGTGATTTGTGTACCTGGGAACTACCGCCTTGAATGCTGTTAACTTAATCATGACTTCCTTGTACGTCGATATAAGTCCATTGTTATCTCTACCAATCAATACCGTATTCAACTTCACCAAACTATGTCGTGTCAACTGCATAATCGTTAATCAGATCTTTTATTTTGATCAGGAACATGGTGACAACGCTAGTCCCCTACCTGACAATGGCCATTGCTCGTTTGTGTTCAGTAATGTCCCCTAATATGTCATTTACAGTTAGTCTACAGAGGTAATTTATTAAAGATCATGTAAAGAACGATATGATGTGCAATAGTTGAGTGCCTTTAGTATTCTGTCCTGGTTGCCTAATGTGATTTTGAGATTGCTTTTATTTTTCACTTTGGCAAATTTGATGAAAACAAACAATGAAGCTGCCCCCAAACACACAACAATAATTCACTGAAGAAACTTAAATAATAGCCCAAAGGCAACCATTCAGATGTATAAACTTAACACACACAGCTGTATTTTGCTACACACACATGCGCCCACGCGCGCACGTACGCACACACGCACAAACACATACAAAGTGTGTGGAAAAATAACTTTGAAAGTGACGATAATTGAACTTTGTCGGAACACGTGCCAGGGATTGCATTTACCATGCCATTGCCTTATTAGTTTGATTTGAACATGTATGTGATGAAGATGTTGAGATGAACTGCCACACGATAAACTGTTGATGAAAACTTACAACGGTTATAGACACGTTACTTGTTTTCAAATGCGTTTGGGGGGCACGGGTGGCCCAGTCGTCTAAGGCGCCGCGATTCGCTGTGCAGAGTTGCGTCCCTTGGGCACGCCAGAAACCTATGATTGTGGGTTCGAATCCCGTTCGCCCCGATTATGTTTCTAGGTTTGTCAGCACCATACCCGTGCTCGTGGGTTTCACCGAAGTGGTAAACGTCTGAGACCTGCATCACTTTGGGCTTTCCTCCCACATTAAGCTGACACGCCGCGATATGACTGGAATACTGTTAAAAGTGGCGTTAAACCCAACTCACTCACATGCGGTAACACATTGTAATAATTGGAACAATAATAATGAGCGTACTGTTGACATGAATTTCACTCGGGATGGGAGTTATCTGACTTATTATAGTACAGTTGCATTCCTGAAAAGGAAAAGATGTCTTTCATTGGACAAAACCATGCTATATTGTATTAATTTCAGATATTTAAAGAACAACTTTTCAAACAACTCGCTTAGCTCTGTATTGATGGATGTACCTTCCTTTGTGTGTGACTTATTGTTTTGTCAAGTGTCTTAAAAAAAGGGAATGGGTTTCGCAAAAGCAAATCAAGCATTGATAGTCAACAGATTAAAATTAAGAAAATATATCCTCGTTGATTGCTATAATGAGCATTTGCCATCATAATAAAAGCGACAAAACCCTTTTCATAAACATCAAAAATCACCATTGTAAGATTCCGACTCTATCATTTGGCGGACATTTCTAATTTGATGCGTCCCTTAAAAAATGATGTCGATGCAATTCTTTATTTTGACCCTGGGCCATTCCACATATAATTTCCACATATAATTTGCCTTCTACGCGCCAATTGCCTTTTTTCTCGTAGATCTATGCTCATAACGTCAATCACCGTTTTGTCTGGTCCAGACACGATTATTTACAGTGCGGCATTAAAACAACAAACAAAAAAGACACCAGAAATGGGAATTTTCCCATCTGGGAATCACACACTAGTCTCTGGCGTAACGATCGAGCGCTTAATACGCCACCGCCCCTTTTCGTTGGAAGTGCTAAGACTTCACCAGTGCCGGGATACGGGTGGCCCAGACGTCTAAGCCACCACGATTCGCTGTGCAGAGTTGCGTCCCTTGGGCAGGCTAGAAACCTATGATTGTGGGTTCGATTCCCGGTTCGCCCCGATTAAGTTTCGAGGTCTATCAGCACCACACCCGTGCTCGCGGGTTTCACCGAAGTGATAAACGTCTGAGACCTACATCACGTCGGGCTTTCCTCCCACATTAAGCTGACACGCCTTGATATAACTGGAATACTGTTAAAAGCGGCGTTAAACACACTCACTCACCCACACACTCACCAGTGCCTTTCCAATGTACCCACATATAACAACGGTCGAGGCAAAACGTGACCTATTTAAAGAAGGGTTAGGGCTTTACAAACTATGCTGGCCGTAAGATATGGCGTAATGGATCGAGTTGTCAGGCGCGTTGAATTGTTTGTTTGCAGCCATCGTTGCTCATAATTCATTACTGGGTTGTGTGATCCCGACTCAATTATTTGCAGATCGCTGTCATATTAATGGAATATTGCTGAGTGGGGCGTTAAATAACTCGAACCACATCATTGACGTTGACCACCCAATACATATATTCAGAGACCCGTAAAACCGTGAAATAGTCGGAATAGTACAATCGGCTCTGCTTTCTATTGGAAATGGAAAGGTTTTTGTCGCTTTGTTTATATTCAATTGTTTTGCCCATGGGCGAAGATTGGCCCATGGGCAGGCCCATGGACAGGCCCATGGACAGGCCCATGGGCGAGAATATGTTCCTCTACTTAAAACTCATGTTTTTGTTTCGCTAATACATATATGTATATCTTTCAAGTATCATGAGACAAAGTCAAACTCATTTAACTTAATTCAACGATTTTATAGCGATATTGAAATATTTCGCCAATGGGCGAGAAAAAGAATATTTTCCTTTGCTCAACAGTTTTAGTTTCGCAAATACATTAAGGAATTATAAGCATGACACATGATTCAACTCATTTTAACTTAATTCAACTATTTTTGGCGTTATTAAAATATTTCGCCCATGTTTTCGTCAGTCCCTTTAAATAATTAACTAATTGTTTACAAAGTACATTGAATCATGTGAAACATACTTTGTATTATATCATTACATTACTATTTAAAAAGGGCCTTTGGTTGGATGTTTCCTTTGCAGAAGTTTTACCAATTTTACCTTTTTTACATATCTTAAATGAACGATCTTTAATGAACCCGGCCTTATCTCTCAAAACGTTTTGACAGTTTAGCATTCGAATTCATGCGCGTATACACCAAATCATTGGTGTTATTTTCCAACAAATTAAAGTTTAGTTTGTTTCTTTTTCATTTCCCATTTTATGTCTCATTGGTACATCACACTGGGAAATTAAGTGACACTAGATATGAAATATACAGGTACACGTGCGCGTATTTTAATGGGGAAAAAACCCGATTCGTCTTTCAATGCATAACGTCTAGCTGAATATCTCACATTCTAACGAAATCTCGAAATAATTATTTCATTATATGCGGTGCGATGTTCATAGACGATTGAGGAAATCTTGAGTGACACTAAAGCAACTTTTAAATGCATTGTAACTTTTAGTATGAAAATGGTAACAGTTCAGAAAAAACAACAGCCTTCTTATGATAATTCTCATATTCTTATTAGTACGATGTATCTAATTAGAGTGTCGGCATTATTTACAGGTGATTTTACAATACCTGCTCTCGGTCAATTACGATGTACCACACCACGCGTGAATAAACAGTTATGCAGGTGTTGCTGTGGGCAAATACCTAGCCTGTACATGTATATTGTGGATACATGTATTACATATGTTCGTTGATATGTGGATATATTAAGCACAAAGACAAAAAAAAAGTTTATGAAAGATGAATTAGTGCCTTGATATATTCAAGGAGATGTGTATCATCGTTTAATGGGTCATTCAATAAAAGTATGTTTGGAGGAGATATCAAAGGAGCCGCCGAATATACACAGTATCGTCCGGTGAACTACCACCCCACCCTGTCCGTAAGAGTTATGTAATCGGTACACAAATATATTTGATGCAGTGTCAGTGTGGAAGGAGTTTGAATTACGTCCGCCACCGGCCACAGAAATCCTTAAAGTATAGTAACAATCAACAAGGTCAAGTATCATTTCAAGTGTCACTTAATTTCCCAGTGTGATGTATCAACGAGACATAAAATGGCAAATGAATAAGAAACAAACTAAACTTTAATTCGTTGGAAAATAACACCATGAATTGGTTCAATATCGCTATAAAATCGTTTGAATTAAGTTAGAATGAGATAAGTTTTGTGTCATGATACTTGAAAGATCTACATATATGTATTAGCGAAACAAAAACATGAGTTTTAAGTAAAGGAACATAAACTGACGGG